CATTATTTCTGTACATTGCTTTCCTTTTATAACTTCTTTTCAAATTATAATGTTGGTCACTATAATCTCATTGTATAAGGCTTTTTAGGCGTGAAAAAACGAAAGGAACAGAAAAACGATTTATGGAAGAAGTTCAATACCAACTGAGAAAAATTACTCAGAAGCAGTTTTCCGGTCCTTTTCTTGTGAGTCGCGTGAACTGTGACGATTGTCGGGTGAAAAAGGGCTCGTGACCCTTGGCTGTTTGAAAAGTTGGAGTTTTGAACTTTTTTTTTCTTACTTTTTTGCCTTCAAAGTCCCTTTTCAGGGACATTTTCGTATTTTTCGCTTTTTTACCGACCATGAGGGATATCCTAACTATCTCAGCGCTCCTTCAAAGTGAAAACGATAAGATAGTCGAATGAAGCAACCAATAAGTGAATGGTTTCATTGTAGCAGCTAATCAGATCCCCTGTGTGGAACAAAACATGGAACACGACCAGGCGATGCGTCATCAACTTCGCGGCCGAAGCCTCTGCAGAACTCTGAGATTTTGGTTAGGCTGAGTAAAAGCGAGTTTTGCCAGAGCGCACTGAAGCGGCTTACTTTCTAATCAACGGGAAAACAAAAATCCAGTTCATCTAAGAAAAAATCTTCCTGTGAACTTCCAACAAATAAAATGGTCGACAATAAAGTGGAAAAAGGCCCTTTCAAAACTATTTGTTTCGGGCTTTCTGAAAGTTTCTGATTCTTTTACCTTTTTTCTAGTTTTAAGCATCATGAACATTAGAACACACTCGTCATTCAGTTTTTTTTAATTATAAATCATTCTGTACGATATAAATAGAAAAGGAATATCACATCACATCAATCAAATAAATCAGTTGATGGTTGGGTTTCTTCGCCGGAAAACAAAGTCTGCCACCGGAACGAGCTTTGTCGAAACGTTTGAGCTCGTGAGGAACGTTTCTCTGAAACGATGGATTTCAATTTTCAAGTTTTTAATAACTCTATAAAAATTAAAAAATACCTTCGGCTGAGTAGGATCGAATATAAAGACGGGTTCGAGTAATTTTGTCGATGAAAGAGGGAAGAATCTGAAATGGATAAAACTGAAATGACCGTCAGAGAAATATTATGCTTTATCTATAATGAATTTCGACGCCAAACTGGAAAAAGAAAAAGGTTCTTAGAAAAGCTGTCCTTTTTGTTTCACTTTCCGATGAAACCTGACGAAACGCGGCCAGCAGTCATACTTGAGCATATGACGAATCAGAAGTAAAACAAGTGTTCATTAAAATAAGGCTGAACATACCTGATTTTGAGCGGCTTCAAAAGTTTTCTCATCCATTTTTCCTTCGAATACCTCAACAATTTTGAGTGAGTAGCGTCGTCAAGATTCACTGGTTCTGACATCCTTCAGCCAAATACTTTCGTAAATTTCACTGATCAGTTTTCACGGCCTGAAAAACGTAAAATTGCATTCTTTTCTTTAAATACAGTAATTATCGATTTTTCAAATGATTCAATAAACCTATTATGATGGTAAAAAAAGAAAACAGATTGTGCTCAAAATGTTAAACTTTTCTAGTTCCTTATTTCAGAAGACTCTATTAGTAAACTCAATTGACGATCCTTGCTGTAATTTCAAAAACAGCTAAAGAAAGGTCTTCAATTTTCGGTTGGAGTTTCCCCAAATTAAACTCGAGCATTCTTTAATTTACCCTTTAGGTCTATTGAAAGTTTATCTACAAAATTACTGGTTATAGAAATAAAATAATCTCAGCTGGCAAGAAAATCATCAGTATCAATAAGATGAGCTACTCTCAGGAACATAGTTTTTTCACGCTAATGTGAAAAGTTATGGTTTGATGATCGATTTTCCCAGGATTTTTCAACCATCAAGAAGCTTTCTGATCAATTTTTGAGAAAATTAAAAGTAAAAATAGCATGATCTTATTTTAATTAAAAAGTCTTCAAGTTCTTTCCTGACAATTAATTTAGTGGATTATTAGTTGAAATCAAAAAAAAACTCACCCCGTCGGAAATCGTGTTGCACTGCAGTTTGTGCGCCGCCAAGTAGAAATCCAAGCTCTCTTCGCAAAATTGGCTATTCAGGAAGTCATGAAACTTCCTTTGCAGCTCTATCGAATGAAACACGTCTTCGAATTTCTGGAACCAGAAATTGAAAAGTATAAACAGAAAAAAAGCTACCAATTGAGAAATTTCCTTTGGAATCGTTGTTATTCTGCTTCCTCTCACAGGAGTCTGAGAAAAAAAATGTCCAAGTTGATGGAATATTTACAAACCTGAGACATCGCCGGGCGTTTTGAATTTCCAGATTCGGCCAAAGAAGACGTTGAGGAGTTGGAAGAGAAGTATCCTTCGGAATCTTCTGAAAATAAAAACTCATAAAAAGCTTTAAAGAGCCTAATTTCTTTTGAAAATCAAAGTACGAGTCATCTGATTTTAAGAACGGTATGAAATGAACACCATTGCCCGTCTCTTGACACTTTTTAATCAAAAAAAAAATTACCATTTTCGTTTTCCGCTCCAATTTCTAGAT